ATGTTTAAGGGGTGCTCATGTTGAACTTGAGCACTAGACTGGTGACTGTTGAATACCTTGGCAGGATATTCCGATGCAAATCCCTAGTTTCTCTTATTGAAAAAAGGACGAAGTTATCTTTGGCATATCTACTTGCACATTTGCTTGTTAGGTGCTGTTATCTATATTGTAATTCATTACAAACTAACGCCTCCATTATATGTGCAGAGCAACACTATACCTCCAAATGGCACAGAGCAGTTGGCCGTTTCACATCTGGACTCAACTATGTGGGCCAATCTTACATTTCTTGCCCAAGGAAATAGCACTCAGAAGAAGCAACAGAAGAAAACACAGCAAAAGAAAACGAAGGTTGTTCAATCTGCATATTGTGAAGTTTGTAAGGTGGACTGCAACAGCAAGGATGTACTTGACCAGCATAAACTAGGAAAGAAGCATAAGAAAAACTTGGAGAAATTACAAGCAGCTGCTGCTGGCTGCAGTGTCTCAGCAGGATCAAGCAATCCAGTTATTGGGCCACAAGAAAACCCCAGTAAGAGTGAAAATGGAAATGGGCAAAAGATTAAGAAGAAGGCCGCAGAACCTTTGGAAGATTTGGATTCGAAGAGAAGAAGAATTCTTGAGGGTGGAGCAGCAGCAGATGCAGTCAGGGTATGTTCGTTTTGTAATGTGGTGTGCAACAGTGATACAGTGTTCAATTCTCATCTTGCTGGACAAAAGCATGCTGCTATGCTGAAAAAGCTTGCTGGAATGAGAATGGCCACTGCCCTATAAATATAAGATAATCAGAATGAATGGATTGGACACACCTAGTGCTTTCCTTTTGGTTGCTTTTCCGGTATATTCTTGTTCTATTAACATACGTAGCCATTTTGTCTTTTCTGTTAGAGAACCACCTCCACAGGTAAATGTTTTTGATAAATGGCGGGGAGAGTTGGCATTCATCATCTCTAGGACTTTTTGAGGAGCACTGCTTACTTCGCTAGGCATAATATTGTTTTCCAAATTTCTGGATGTTCATCTCCATTGAAGCACAACGAGCCAACAGTATTTCCTACAAGCACACAGCCATTCTATCAATCTTATCCTTTGAACTGACTGTTTTGGAAATGCAATGTATCTATGAAATTGAAGGATCTGTAATTCTCGTTCAAAGTTACAAGCATCTTCTCTATTCTAGAAAGGGACTTTCTTTCAGACCACCACCCTTGTGCAGTACTAGTAGTGGTTTTTTGGATCTGCCACGCTGCTGGAGGCTTAGGATTTAATGTAGTGTGGCTATAGCCTATTGCTTCAGCCCTCAAAGGGACTGCAGCCCCCGTCACTGCGCCGGCTCAATTTGCATATTTATGGTTCACCGGGAAGCTGGCCACGTATGGAAACAGTTTTTTTAACATATTATTATTCAAAATTATTTTCTTCTTATACAAGAAATAAAGTGTAAGATTTCTCTAGCACTTCTTCCTTATCATGCTTTTCTATTTTTTTCTTTCAATAATAATTTATATAGTTCAAATTGTGGTCATATGCGCTATGATATAATCATTCTTTTACTATACAATAAATTAAATGAGTTACTTTACTTCCAAGGAAAAAAAAAAAAATATTGACAACCCTGAGCAGACATGATCACCGCTGTAGGAATGCAGTAGATATTAATTTAAAAAAAAATATTAAAAAAAATATTTACAAGGAAAAAAAAAAGTATTGACAACCCTGAGCAGACATCATCACCGCTGTAGGAATGCAGAAGATATTAATTTAAAAAAAAATATTTTTTTATTTTTTAAAATTTATTTAAAATATTAAAATAATAAAAAATTTAATTTAAAACTAAAGAATTTAATTTTTCTTTTTTAAAAGCGTAGGCAGGCATCCTGATAGCGATTCCTGTACTACCCAAGCCCTCTCAGTCTCAACGGAAGAACCATGACAAGATTTCTCGCAAACCTCAAGCCCTCTAATCCTTCCTCTGTCTTTAACCACTCCCACAAAATCATTGCATTTCCTTATTCTTCTCAAACCACTCAGCCTTTTCAACCAAAAACCTTCTTCAAATCAAACACCAAAGATACCACCCTCGTACCTCACTTGTGCAGTCAAAAGAGGTTCGATGAAGCCATTCATATTTTATGCCAACAAAACCGCTTAAAAGAAGCGTTACATATTCTCCACCAAATCGACAAACCCTCTGCTTCTGTTTACTCGACTCTTATTCAATCTTGCATTAAAAGTCGGCTTCTCCAACAAGGCAAAAAAGTTCATCAACACATCAAGCTATCTGGGTTTGTACCCGGTTTGTTCATTTTAAATCGGCTTCTAGAAATGTATGCAAAATGTGATAGTTTGATGGATTCCCAGAAGTTGTTTGACGAAATGCCTGAAAGGGATTTGTGTTCATGGAATATTTTGATTTCTGGGTATGCTAAAATGGGTTTACTCCAAGAAGCGAAAACTCTGTTTGATAAAATGCCTGAGAGAGACAATTTTTCTTGGACCGCGATGATTTCTGGGTACGTCCGTCATGATAGGCCTAATGAGGCTTTAGAGCTGTTTAGAACGATGAAGAGACGTGATAATTCCAAGTCTAATAAGTTTACAGTTTCCAGTGCTCTTGCTGCTGCGGCAACTGTTCCGTGTTTGAGGACTGGGAAAGAGATTCATGGCTATATAATGAGAACAGGGTTGGATTCTGATGAGGTAGTTTGGAGCGCCTTGTCTGATATGTATGGTAAATGTGGGAGCATAGAGGAAGCAAGGCACATTTTTGACAAGATGGTGGATAGAGATATTGTTACTTGGACGGCAATGATTGATAGGTACTTTCAGGATGGGAGGAGAAAAGAGGGATTCGATTTGTTTGCTGACTTACTGAGGTCAGGTATCAGGCCTAACGAGTTCACTTTTTCTGGGGTTTTAAATGCTTGTGCTAATCAGACTTCAGAGGAGCTTGGTAAGAAGGTTCATGGTTACATGACTAGAGTTGGGTTTGACCCATTCTCCTTTGCGGCTAGTGCTCTTGTTCACATGTATTCTAAGTGCGGAAATATGGTGAGCGCAGAAAGGGTGTTTAAAGAAACGCCCCAGCCAGATTTGTTTTCATGGACTTCATTGATTGCTGGGTATGCTCAAAATGGCCAACCTGATGAGGCTATTCGGTATTTTGAGCTGCTAGTAAAGTCAGGGACACAACCTGATCACATAACTTTTGTTGGCGTTCTATCTGCTTGTGCTCATGCTGGATTAGTTGATAAAGGGCTTGATTACTTTCACTCAATAAAAGAGCAATATGGGTTAACTCATACTGCTGATCATTATGCTTGTATAATTGATTTACTGGCCCGATCCGGCCAATTTGACGAAGCTGAGAATATCATAAGTAAAATGTCAATGAAGCCTGATAAGTTTCTGTGGGCTTCGTTGCTAGGTGGTTGTAGAATTCATGGAAATCTTAAATTGGCACAAAGGGCAGCAGAAGCATTATTTGAGATTGAGCCTGAAAATCCTGCTACTTATGTTACGCTGGCCAACATATATGCCACGGTTGGTATGTGGAGTGAAGTAGCGAAGATCAGAAAGACCATGGATGACCGAGGAGTGGTGAAGAAACCAGGTTTAAGTTGGATTGCGATTAAGAGGGATGTACATGTATTCTTAGTAGGAGATGATTCACACCCGAAATCCAAAGACATAAATGAGTTTTTGGGGAAGCTGTCCAAAAGGATGAAGGAAGAAGGTTTTGTTCCTGACACAAATTTTGTGTTGCATGATGTGGAGGACGAACAGAAGGAACAAAACCTCTCTTACCATAGTGAGAAGCTTGCTGTAGCTTTTGGAATTATTTCAACTCCAGAAGGAACACCGATCAAGGTTTTTAAGAATTTAAGAACGTGTGTAGACTGCCACACTGCAATTAAATTTATCTCAAAGATCACAAATAGAAAAATAATTGTGAGGGATTCGAATCGGTTCCATTTTTTTGAGGATGGACACTGCTCATGTAGAGACTATTGGTGATTAAAAAACGAACTACGAGTTGATCAAGCAAATTTGCCGGACTTGAAAAAGACCAAGAGGAGCACATCTTTTATCTTGCAGGCCAGCTTTTACATAACCATCTGGTTAAATGAATTCTAAATTGAAACTTCTTGCCGTTGTGGTTTGATTTAATTGGGAACCGTGCAAGAAATTACCATACGCCTCAGTACACAGTCACATCTGTCAAATTGGAGTTGCATGAGCAATATGTTCTGTGAGAAAAAATCCAGGTGAGTTTTGCCACATATTAGTTTATTCATTCTCATTTGATGCTTTTGTGACTTCGTCTTTATTATTGTGATTGCTTTGCCAGATGAAGCTATTTCATTTTGGACATCAATCATATATAACTGGAACTTATTTTCTGTTTGGGCTCGATATATTTGATATATGATGCCAAAGCATTTATGTGAGTTGCGCAAAAAAATAAAAATGCCTCTCCTTTCTCAAGGATGTTTTGCGCAAAAAAAAAAAAAAAAATGCCTCTCCTTTCTCAAGGATGTTGCGCTTGAATCAAGTCTTTTGTTGAAAGCAAGCAGTGAGATCTACGACGGATTTTTTTATTTTTTTTACTTATGGACCATAGTATTATAAGAAAAATCACTTTCCCACCAAGGGAGTTGTTCCCAGAATCTGATTCAGTCAATTGAAACTTCTAATTTGGGGATATTTTCCATCAAGCATATAAACAACATTTTAAAGCGTTCAAAATTCTTTTAATGTTAGAAGTGATTGCCTCTCATTTTTATTAAATGAATGACATATAGCAACCAAAAAAGATGATTTTTAGAGGTAATAGATATTAGCAAATTATTTTGTTTTAATAAAATTTAAATTATTGTTTTTTTAGATGTAAAAAAGAATATCATATGAATAAATAAATAAATAAACTTTGATAGCTTTCTGTGGAATAAAATTAGATGTCTTAATCTATGATTATCTCTTAAATTCTCAACTTGGTTTTTAGATAAAAAAAAGTTGGAGATGGTGGTTCTAAACTTGTATTAGCTCTAATGCATGTTTTTCTCTTGATTTTGCCCCAAAAATGAAAAATAAAATGAAGAAAAAGAGATTTTACACCCACACATGCCAACAATAACATCAGACACATAGCACAAAAGGAATATATGAAAATAACAACCAAAAAACTCAAACATTAAGATTAAGATTAAGATCAAGAAAAAAATTAATTATTTTTTCCTTAAGATTATGTCAAGGTTCATTATAATCAAATAATTGAAATTATATTTAGATACCAATCAAATGGCTGGTTAGCTTCGATGGACACTGGTTCAGCCAGAAAGAGTTTAATTTAGCTCCTGCCTGTGACTGCTATGCAACAACATCGACACCTTCTGCTTTACATTGTAGCCATTTGGAATATGAAGTGCAAAAACAACCAAGACGGTCAGAACATTTAGATACAGTTTTGTACATTTGAGCTTTCATTCTATTAAAAGAAAGAACCCGAAAGGGTATAAATAAAGGTAGCATAAAACTGCCCTTTTATTTTATTTTTATTTTTTTTGTTAAATCAGCTTAATGGATGCATATACACATTCGCTGTTGATGCTATCGTGGAAGATTTTTGTAGCGTGAATGACACAGAGGGTCTTCCATAGTTTTACAAGAATTGACTGCGACTAGCTCCTGCAGCTTTTAGCCGTGAGGCGGCAGTGTAAACTCCAAATGAATCTCTAATACTTCGGTGACAGCTATACAGACGGAGATATTAACCACGGAACAAACACAAAATACAAATGGATTGAATGGAGCTAGAACAGATACAACATTCAGCAGCAAATAAGACAATGATGAAGCAACAAAATTGATACAGCAGAAAACGTTCAATAGCAAATAAGGCGACGGTAAAGCAAGAAAAAAGCCAATTTCCTTGTAACGCAGCATTTGGGGGGGCGGGGGGTTTATGGAGGGGGATGGCATATTCTCAACTTCGATGAACAGTGAATTACTTGCAGAAAAATCAGGGTGATCTTGTGCAACCCTATACGACTCCTAGCATGTACATAAAGAACTGCAAAAGCCATTTTCATCAAGAGTGAAATTTGAAACTTGTGATCACCATTATAGCCAAAAAAGCGGCATATACAAGACGGGGTAATCATGTTATCATGACAAGTTTTTGAGCATAAACGATTCGTTAGTTTTCCAATATAGATTTGTACACTCCAAATGCATCCCTAATACTTCCACTAGAATTATGCTTGGCGATATTGAGCATGGAACAAAAACAAAATACAAAGAGCAAGAAACTGATACCACACATCGAGCATTATTCAGTAGCAAATAAGGCTAGGTGAAGAAACGAAGATGCCAGTGGCCTAGAAACAGATTAAGGGTATAATGGCAGATTCCCAACTTCAAGATTCAAATGCACATCAACACGCATGAAGACAAAACTGGATTCATCCTCGTTTCTCGATCTCACCTCCTAATCTACTATAAAGTCGTGAGGATTTTTCAAATGCTACATTAAGAATTATCTTCTGAAATTGCCCAAGGTGAAAATCCTACGAACAAAAAAATGGGCAACCCACATATCGTAGTCATACCTTATCCAGCACAAGGCCATGTGATTCCCTTCATGGAACTCTCACAATGCCTCGCAAAACAAGGATTCAGAATCACATTTGTGAACACAGAGTATAATCATAAGAGGGTCTTGAAAGCTTTGGGAGAGAACAATTATCTTGGGAGTGAAATTAGTCTCGTCTCAATCCCTGATGGTCTAGAACCTTGGGAGGATAGAAATGAACTAGGAAAGTTAACTAAAGCAATTTTTCAGGTCATGCCAGGGAAGCTACAGCAGCTCATAAACAGGATCAATATGTCAGGAGAAGAAAAAATCACTGGTATCATTACTGATTGGACAATGAGCTGGAGTCTAGAAGTAGCAGAGAAGATGAATATCCGCCGTGCTATCTTTTGGCCCGCCTCAGCTGCCGTACTATGCTCTATGCATAGTATTTCAAAGTTACAAAACGATGGAATCATTGACAATGATGGTGAGGTCCTGTATCACAAACTCTTTAACTAATGTATTGCACTGTAGTGAATTAGCATAACCTAAGTAGTCATCAACTAGGCTTGTTTTGTGACAAAAATCTGGTTCAATAAAGTCTGTTAGCGGTTTATCTACGGAACCAAAGATAGAAAATAAATAAACATTTTGCTATTTTTAAGCTAGAAGACCCTGTAAATAGGAATAGGAAGTTTTCTGCAATCTCTATCATTAACATTCAAATGTTCTTTCCTTGAAGGCACTCCACTAAAGAACCAGACAATTCAGTTGGCACCAAAAATGCCAGTGATGGACACTGCAAATTTGGCATGGGCTTGCCTTCGTGACTTTACCACACAGAAAATTATTTTTGATGTCATGGTTAAAACCATTGAGACACTGAAAGTGGAAGACTGGATAGTTTCTAACTCGGCATACGACCTTGAGCCGGGAGCTTTCTCTTTCGCCCCAAACATACTACCTATAGGACCGCGTTTGGCAAGCAATCGGCTAGGAGATCAACAAGGATACTTCTGGCCAGAAGATTCAACATGTTTGAAATGGCTGGACCAACAGCCGCCCAACTCAGTTGTTTACATTGCATTTGGTAGCTTTACTGTTTTTGACCAAACACAATTTCAAGAGTTAGCTCTAGGTCTTGAACTATCCAACAGGCCGTTCTTGTGGGTTGTCAGGCCAGATATTACAGCGGAGACAAGTGATGCTTATCCAGTAGGATTTCAAGAGAGGGTAGCCAACCGTGGGCAGATCGTTGGTTGGGCTCCTCAACAGAAAGTACTTAGTCACCCTTCTGTTTTGTGCTTCTTGAGCCACTGTGGTTGGAACTCCACCATGGAGGGTGTAAGCAATGGGGTCCCTTTCTTGTGCTGGCCATATTTTGCTGACCAATTCCTTAATGAGACCTACATTTGTGATGTTTGGAAGGTGGGATTGAAGCTGGACAAAAACCAAAGTGGGATCATCACAAGGGAAGAAATAAAGAAGAAGGTGGAGAAAGTTGTTGGTGATGAAAAATTCAAGGCAAGAGCTTTAGAACTCAAAAGATTGGCCATGCAGAATGTTGGAGAAGGTGGTTGCTCAAGCAATAATTTCAAGAATTTCGTTGAATGGATGAAGGCATGAGCATGAAGAGATTCTGAACTTGTTGGAGCTCTGATCTTTTTCTTTTTTTTCTTTTTCTTTTTCCCTGATTCTGCACGTACTTTGGAAAATAAGAGCAAAAATGCATTGCGTCTTCGCATAACATGAACTACTTTCTTTGGAAAACAGAACTAATGAATATATAGTTCAACAGTGCTAATGCTATTGAGATGCAATCACATCAACACAGAATAAAAGCAAACAGAAAGGAAGAAAAACACAAAAGCAAAGGAGCTGCAAAAATATCAAAAGTGGTTAGTATCTCACATGTGCGACCGAGCTCTGCTATTAAGCTTCGATCTGTACTCAAACATCTTCATGGTTAATGGATAAGCCTCCAGCCATGATGCAAGATTTTGATTCTTTATAATGGGAGGCAAGGACCCAGTCAGGAAATAGATCTCTAGTTGTCGAACAATGATTTGAGATTTAGCCAAGGAACAACGCTTTCCTGCGGCAAAATAACAATGCCTGTCACTTCAAAGGTTTGCCATCGGGTAGAATTTTCCAAATAAATTATCATTTATAAAACCCTGCTATTCTTGTGTGGAGATTGAGCTAAGATGTATGCATCTACATACTGAACATGTGCATGCATAAAACAGACCAACATGTAGATTATATATCACCAAAAGATCATCCTTACCCAAAAAGAGAAGCATTGCACAACTTCCCTCAAGGGGGAAATGCAGAGAATCCAGAATAAGTCGAGTGAAATAAACAACAACGAATGTACAGGTACAATAATGGTGCTTCATAAAGCTACAGGAAAACATGGTGCTTCTAAAAGCTGAAGTGTATAACACTCACCTGTGCGAGATGAAAGAGCATAGAGCCTGAAATATCAAGTAGACATCAACCACCAAACTCCAGAAATATAAAAACCGTTGGTCAAGCATAAGAAATCAGAAACTACAAACACATTGGAAGCACAGAGAAAAGTTTTCAATTATACTGATAGAGAAAGTTTACCTTCTCTTAGATGGCCATGAAGTCCAAGCAGGCATGCAGCTATTTCTGTGTGCAAATGTTAATAGTCTAAAACCAATAAATTGCTCTATTAAAGAAGACAGAAGAAAAAAACATAAGATATCTAAACTCTTAAGTTAACAGGAAACAAGCAACCACGAGATAAATCTCTAGCAATTACACATGAAACCAATGATGTAAGTCCTGTATATATAACTGTTTAGACTAAAAATCAATATTCATGTGTTAATCCTAGAAGAACAATGATTGTTCACATTAAACATGGAAAAGAAGTCGAAATCAATAAAGTGGAATTCAGCGTGCTGGAAAATTCCTTGCCGACCAGAACTTTTGAAGAAGCTCGATCAACTGATCAGGAGTCGCAATCATTCCATTGAAAGCAATCGACTACAGGAGTTCGAACAAGCGAAAAAGAATTAGAAAGCTTAATTTTATTCAGACCAGGATTCCTCGGTCAGAAGATTAGTTTAGTATTCTCATGGTATCAAGGAGTTTAATTGTGTATTAAAACTCCATAAAATATGATACCAATTAAATACCATGCTCACAAAATGACCATGAAAAATGGCCAGCTCCACGCACGGAATTTGGAGTGGTTACAAGGTGGTTGCATGCCTTCTTTTGGGATAAAATTCTTATTATTGTGTAGTTTCTCTTTTGTAGAACTAATTCATCATAGATCAACAACAATAATTAATAAAATCCCAGAGCAAATGTCGCATAAACTTAACATACATAAAACAGAGAACAAGAGAGAACAACAATGGCGTTTCCACTGTTATTAGCTTTCGCTTTCAAGGTGTTCTCTATCAACACGGATGCCCTCCCTGGCGGAGACATTCTACCAGACGAAAAGGAGGCAGAAGAGGAAAAGGGTTGTTCCAACATAATCTCAGAAGCACCACCAAGCTCTTGCTGATCGTCAACAAGTAACCTCCTCCCATTATCTGCAGGTTCCACGAGCTCTTTCTTTGCTAGTATTGGGTTGTGGAATATATACAGAAAGAAAGCGAGACCAAATCAAATTACATCCATAATAAGAATGTTGAAGTCAGAAATCGCCAATATGAATTGCCCTTTGCCTTACTAGTGTAGGGTTGTGGAGTGTATATATCTACAAGCAATTCCTGTTGTGGTACATCAATTTTCGAGTGTTGCTCTCTGAAACCACTTCCCAGCCTCAATTTCATGCCAGATTGCACACTTCTCGGACAGAAATTTCTTCGCTTAAATGTTGCATGGAATGCTCCAGATCCACTAGAATACTTGTGAATAGAGTACAGAACATTCTTAAAATGGCTATAGATCAACAACACCCCATGTCATTTCTACTGCATTTGGCAAATGTAATGTTTCTGACGGAATACAATTTCCAAGAGTCAACTCTAGCAGGTCATGAATTATCCAGCTAGCCATTCCTGTAAGCCATTTCTACTGCATTTGGCAAATTTAATGTTTTTGACCGAATACAAGTTCCAAGAGTCAACTCTAGCAGCTCATGAATTATCCAGCTAGCCATTCCTGTGGGTTGTGAGGCCAGAGACATCACTAGTGGGATAAACACCCTGGTGGATATCATGTTTAAAAACATCTTTGGAAATATGATTATAATTATTTTATAAAATATTTTTTTATTTAAAAATATATTAAAATATAATATATTTTTTATTTTTTAAAAATTATTTTTGATATTAACGCATCAAAATAATCTAAAAATACTAAAAAAAATATTAATTTAAAGTAAATAAAATAAAATAATTTAATTTTAAAAAAAACTTTTAAAACACAAACAAATAAAATCTATATCAACCAACAGTCACAAGCTTAGTTGGCTCCTCAAAATAAACGTTTTTCTGGAGCCCCCATTGAAGGTGCAAATAATGGGATCCCCTTCTAGGGTAGGTCATATCTTGCTTACTATTTACTTAACACGTCCTCCATTTGCGAGGTCTAGATGGTGGGATTGAAGCTCCACGGGAACTAAAGCGGGATCAACACACGACAAGAAACCAAGAATAAGGTAGAGCAAGTCGTGGGTGATGGAAAACTTCAGAGGAAGAGCTTCAGAACTCGAAAAAATGACCGTGTGAAATGTTGAAGAAGGCTTGCTCTAGTAAGCTTTTCAAGGATTTCATTGCATGCTGGATGCATAAGCAAAAGGTTCAGAACTTGTTTCAACACTAATCTTTTTTAGTCTGCATGAAGAATTTGGAAAATAGAAGCAAACGGAGAGAAAGCATTGCCTTTTTATTTTGCAATTGTCAGCTAAATTCTTTTGCAAAAAAAACTGACATTGAATGTTGTGTGTAATAAATACGAGAATACTAAAGATTCAAGCCAAAGAATTCTTGATTCTAACACAAGATACTTATTACATCGAATATAATATACTTATTCGATGTAAGAGAATTATTTTGCTATATCCATACTATCAATCCAACCCATTTCACAAATAAAATGTGAACAATTAACCAACCAACAAAACTAAGCAATCAACAAAAACTACTTGTTATAAATAACATCTTTTTGTTGCATTGAAACATATAAATGTTGACTAATCTAACTAACATTGAACTTGATAAAATGAAATAGTTGAATAATTGAAAAATTAGATTATAATACACATTGAATGCTAAGACGATGCAATGAATTTCTAGTAGTAGATCCATAATCAAAAAAGTGTTTGTGATTTTTCCAAAAGAAATGAAACAGAAGATATGGTAGAGCTAGGACAGTTATTGTATGAGGTCTAACCAATGCTTGATGCAGAGGCACATAATAGATCAATATGAACATCATGAGCTGCCTCGTAATAAAACCTGCTGTTGCTGATACTTCCTTCTTGGTTCCTTCTTCTCCTTCTTCTATAACCCGAGCTCAGAGAAGGAAGAGATAAGAGGGTCAGCTACCTTCTTTAGCAAAAGAACTGACATTGAATGTACACCCATACCACAACAAAGCAAACATAACGGAAGAAAAACAGCAGGAGGAACAGCATGCATATCAAAAGTACACTCTCACATGTACAACTGTGCACCGTGCTAATAAGCTGTGATTGACACCAAAAACGCTTTCAGTGGCTAAGGAATAAGTCTCCAGGCATGATGCATAACTTCATCCATGATAAAAGGACGCAAGGACCACATTACACAATAGCTCTCTAGTTCTCCAGACAGTGATTTGAGATTTAATGAATTAACAATCCTCTCCTGCAACAAATAATAAGATTTCTCACTTCAAGCTCTAATGTAACGTTCCATAACAGAAAAACTAATTCGTGATGTAGTTCATTACCTGCATTACATAGTCTTGCTTTACCATACTGTAAATGATACCCATCAACACAGCATAATTTGTCATTTCAAGTTCTCCAGGTTCGAATGATGACTTTTCCACCAAATAAAAATAACTTAAGCAGTTAGGTACTAATCGACTTTATTAAGAAACTCAAAACAAAATCAGAACAAGGCATTTATACAAAACTATTTAGTACAAGTAAATATAAATAAGCAGCTTGGAATTCAATTCAAAGAAAAAAGCACCATGAACCAATATCAAAAGGAAGGTTTTGGGAATCTCCTGTTGGTTTACAGAATTGTCTTCCATATGAGTAGAAGAAAATAAAAACAAATGGATTAATAAAATTTCATTTGTGGTAGATTAGCTTAAAAAAAAAGAGTAGTTCAGCCAAAACAGAGTGAATTTAGCACCTATTACATTCACCGGAAAGTGAAGTGCAAAGACAGCTAAGAGAGGCAACTTAGTGAAAGAGAAAACAAATTGGAAAGTTAATACAAATTGTCATTTGCGAATCAACCAAGAATATTATTAACCAGAAATGTTTAAAATTTAGAACCAATCAAAGTTTGGCCAGAACTTTGCAAATAAATAAGTACTAAACCTAGTTATTCTACAGAAAGGATTTAGATAATTCCCTATTAACAGGATTCCTAAGGACACTGTTACCATGCGTGGACCTGTTTTAAAATCTCATATGTCATTGAATTTCCATAGCAGTTAAATGTTATGGAAAACAAGAGCATCCATGGATCCCTCAAAAAACGAGCATTCACTTATCCCTCACATTTGTTTGAGGTACAACCATTTTCAAAATATATTTAAGAAAAAAATCTTTAGAAGGACAGTAAATTGAAAGTCTGAAATCTTCTTAAAATTAGTGCTAAACTAAGAGACTGCGTGGTTAGATTTATTCAAACTTCCCCAAAAAATGATTAAAAGCACCTATGAAACTACAAATGCTACCTTAGCAATTTGGTAATCCAAGTACTCTGAAACAAATAAACAAGTAGGGATATGAAAATGTTGGCGCTACCACCAGAAAATGTCCATTGAAAGGAAGGGGTCAAATATAAAGGATTATAAAAATTAGAAAGGCATCATCCTCAACAGATAAAAAAGAAATAAAAAAAAATCTAGTCAGCAATTTTAAAGGCCCATAAAATAATAATTTCTGAAATTTTGAATAAAAAGGATGGGAGAATGAGCAAAAGAATATATGACTAATCTAAACATAGAATAAATCATCTGTTTCACCAACCTGGTCACTGGTTATTTGTTGATACAACTGGTCACCGCAATCTTCATTCTTCAACGGTGGTAAACATCCATTGGCAGTTTGAATTGCACCAGATAAATCCTCCAAGAGTTGTTCAAGTTCATTTAGTAAGCTCTTGGCTGCAATTCACATTTCAATCTGAGAAACAAGTAGGGACAGAGAGTGGCAACTAATAGTACTATAGTTGTGTGCAAATTAAACAAGCTAATAGTTGCACAACAATTTCTGGTAAATGTGTACACACATCCACATGAATGCTGGACATATAGATGCAGATAGAAAGCCAAACATGTAATGGCATAACAGTCCACCCTTCCAAAAGAAATTACTGAGAAGGAAAATCAGAAGATTTATACATATTCCAAGCTCAAAGACTCTATTGTTAAGATATTACTTAACATTGAGAAGAAAAGATTACCTTTGCTTAAATGGTTATGAAGTCCGATGAGGCATGTATGCACTTCTGTGTGTCAAAGTGCATAGCAATTAGCCCAAAAAGTTTTGCAGAGGAACAGAACTAACAAACATAAAATACTAAACTCTAGAGAAGGAAGTGTAAAATATTGATTACATTTGCACTTACACTTGTTTGTATTTTGTATGCTATCATGAACATTAATGCAACCAGCTTCAATATAAGATTTAACCCTTTTTGTTTCATTTGCTTTGATAATATTCTTTATTAGCTGAGATGTCCCGTCTATTGGAGGTCGTCGAAGAAATTCTATGAGGAAAATGAAACAAAACAATGTTATCGAACAAAAATGCAGAAAGGAGAAAAATGAATGTTATCTACATACCAAGCGCTTGCTGATAGCCATTGAGTAATCTGCTTCCAATACCTGCAAGTTCCTCAAGCTTTGTGACCCTATATTGACAGGACAACCATTCAAAACAAAAATAAGAAGAAGAAAAAACAGATTCAAAGTTTAGTTATTCATATGGGTGCTCTCTATTCCATGTGAAAGAAATTAACGGGCCATGTTTTACCAAAATCTTCTTAGCTTCAAGTAACAACTATACTTAGTATGTGTTCTGTAGCTAAGTTTCATGCTGCTTACCTAGTCAAGAAATCTTGAAAAATATTGGAAACCTTCTCTTTCAGTTCAGGTTTTAATTCGACTTCCATTCTGCAAACACGACATTAACGTCAGAACCTTGAATTTGAATCCAAATAAATCCCAGTTCGGCATTTTATCATATACTTGTCTTGCATTGAGTTTTTTGTTTTGCAGCTCCTTCAACTACTAGAGATATAATTATTAACAAGATAATAAGATAAAAAGAGACAGAAACAACAAGACATAGTGTTTACTAGTGACTTAAGCTTTGTAAGCAGCAGTTAAGAGTAGAAATAATACAAAACACACTTAGGCGCACACAACTTTGAATTGAAGCTGTTAGTTTGGTGTCCAGTAAGGTACCTATAGGCTATATTGAAACAGCAAAAAACTTGTGTAATCTTGCCTGTTAACTCTTGGGAGTAAAATTTCCCTGTACTGGATGGTTGCCTTGACAAATACCCTTGTGAATTGACTGGGGTGTTGTGACCCAAGGTCTTGTGCAGGCTCAACAAATAATAGTTTCCATAACCCTCTAAAGGAAAGGATAAAAAAGGATGGTCAAATATTATAACCCTTGCATGAGATGTTTGGCACATGGTGAACTCCTCTCTAACTGAAATACAATTTGCACACATTCCTTCAATATATAAATTGATGTAATTGATCTAGCTGCTAAGGATTTTATGCCTTCCATATTTATAAGCTCTCTAGTTTACCAAAGGCTCTGGCAGATGCCAACCTTTTTTCTAAACTATGAAACCACCTGCAGAACATTTTCATGTGTCTTGGCTTATGTCTGGAGTTGTTATTCAGTTTGCAGGGTCCTATTCTCCATCATGCTAAGAAGCTGAATGGCGAAGCTTCATCAGACAAAAATCTACTTAACTTGAAATGCTGCTCGGTGGAAGATAAGATGCAAATGCTTCATAAGCAGTTGAGAGCTAGTGAGAAATTCAAAACAAAAAATCAAAAGCTTTATGAAGATGCTATAAATGACTTAAATAAGGTCTCTGAATGTTACAAGAGCTGTATAACTGATCTGGCGAGGAAATGCAGCTCATTGGATGAGAGGTATTCTCGTTCACTTGAAATGCTGGATTCTGCAAAGCAGGAATCCTTGGAATGGAGGAGAAAAAATGAAGAGACATGGAATAAGAAGAAGGCAGTTAAAGACCAGGTTAAGGTGGAAACTGTGTCAGGGACTCATGAACAAGAAGCGAGACTTGCTGATGCCCATGGACAAGCTCAGTTAGCATGGAAAAAGCCCAGTGAATGGAAAGAGAAGTAAGATATTGCAGTTAATGAATTCAAGGCTAATATAGAGAAGGCAAATATAGTGCTGGAATATCCAATTGAGGATGTAAACTGTAGAGAAGAAGCTTCGAGCTGAGTTATGCAATAGCTTGGCAGAAAAGATGATGCCCTACCTCTCTCCACTCACAAACATATACAAGCTTTTGTATTAGTACAATATATACGATTATATGCACATTAAATCTATCCATATAGACAAGAGGAAACACTGCATCCACATCTTGATTGGTTTGGGGATGCAGCATCCTCTGAAGCTGATAAAGAAAAGAATGGCTCTCCAGCCATATTGGTTATAGAAAATGTAGTCTATTTGTGTGTGTCTGCTAGCTTTCATTCATATTTAGTAGCAGTTCATGAATTTGCATTGCATGCGAGCTATATTGTGATTTTTACACTTCATAATAGAGACCATCTGCTCTAAACTTTTCACCAAATTCAAAACTGTTAGAGAATAATAAAAATCATATTCTGGAACCTCACTTAACAGCTTTTTGAATTGAGATGGTTCTTTGACATGGTATCGAAGCTTTAATGACCAAGCGGTCACGAGTTCTAATCTCACCATTTCAATTTATTTAATAAAAATTAAGCACAATATAATGTGGGTTTGTGTAAGTTTCAAGCCCAGAAGGCTTTCATTTGAGGGAGTGCGTTAGAGAATAATATAAATCACATCCTGTAACCTCACCTAACAGCTTAAGCTTTTGGATTTAGATGGTTCTTTGAAAAAAACATTAATGCACACAACTAACATCCTGTAAGACTACAAAAGATGAAAAGGAGAAGAAGCCAGAGAAAGACAGGCACTTGTCCTAAAAATAGGAAAATACTTGGGCTTGGCACTTGGATTTAGAGTACCATAACTGTAAAACTTGATTTCAACTAAAAAGACAAGAGGATATTTTGGATATTTTAAAGTTTTTATAGGGATTACTTTTCCAACAATGCTTTTGTTTATTTTGCTGATTCGTTATTTAAAAACCTTTACAATACTTTCCTCGAGTTTAAAAATAGCAGGACAAGGAAATTAAGGTCAAGATAGCAAAGCTTGAGGAGGCTGAGCAGAAAATAACCACTTTGAATTTGGACTTGAAGGTTCTGCTCTATAACCTTCTGTCATCTTCTGATCACTATCGTATAGTAGCCTTCAAATTCAAGAAGCTTGGAGAAAACAGTTTTTTTTTCTTTTCACATGTATTTTGAATGCTAGATTTGCATGTGCAGGTTGCTCAAGAAAAGATGGACAAATATGAGTTGGAATCATCAGCTCTGAAGCTTCAACTCAAGGACTTGACTGATAAGTACGAGTCTGTCCAAACTACTGCTCATGCATTGGAGATGGAAGCTCGGATTCTGGTACAGGACAGAACTCAAATGGAGCAGAAGTACCTCACTGAGTTAAAAAGGTTTGAGTAGCCGGTGAAAGATGTAAGGTCACAGCGGAGGAAGCTAAGGTGGCAAATAAGTTTGCTGAAACAGCACAATCAGAGGTATGCATTCTCTTTTAGGGAGGGAAAAAAAAAAACCTCAAGACTTAGATTTTAATTCATTACGGATGAAGCATTAACAAAAGAACAGCTTGTTGCAACCCATATTTTTCAGTACTGTTTTAGCAAGTTCATTTAAAATCATGCGTAATTCCTTTGATTCCAGCCAATTCATTCCAATATCACTTAAATCATTCATATTGACGGTAACTAAATAATTTCGGAATTTGCAATTGCTTGGGATAGTATTAATCCTTCCTTTTTCTAACAAATCAGAGCAACTCTACTAAGAATCCACCATAATGAACATATTTACCCTAACATAGTTCTATCGGCAACGTTATCAATTAATCGGACAGCTTGAAACAGTAAATTAAGCTAGCATAAATCATAAGTCCAGTTCAAGCACCCAAACTGTTAGCTCAAAACATTAATTGTTTAGTAATAACCTAACTGTGGTAGAAACATACACCGAAACAAGCTAAAAACAATCAAAGAATAGCCCACAGAGGACTGGTCAACAACACCCTGTCCAAAAATAATCAGCAAGATTATTTTTTTAAAAAAAAGCTTGAATTTACCTCGAGAGTGCGTTTCAATGGAGGAGCCTGGAACAGTTGCCGCTAGAAGTGGTGGTGCTCGTGGCTATCAACAGAGAAAGAAGAAGAGATTTAGAGTTTCAATGGTGGTGGGAAACTTGAAAGAAGAATCAGGGATTTGGAAGCTGGTTAGACGCACGGCAAGAAGAAACGGGAGGTTTACAAGCTCTCGCTACGTTTTGCCTTCGTTTTTTTTTTTTTTTTTCAAGGTCTCACGGTTGATTTGTCAGGTTATGGTAAGTTGGGCTCTCACGTGTTAAAATTTTGCTCGGTTCAATATCAAACCGAACTTAGGTTTGGTCTCAGATTCGGTAGATTACCGGGTAACCTCAAAGGGCTGGGCTGGTCTGGGCTTTGATGGGCTGGGCTTGGCAAATGCTTTAATTTGCCTAGATTTCTTTTTACAGAGACTGCCTTGAATATTTTTATTTACTAGTTTCCTTGAAATATGCTTCCCAAGTATAATATTCAACTATATATTAACGAGTTTTTACTATTTTTTCATGGATTGATTCATTAGTTAAAGGTTATAAATTACAAATCCTTATGTATATTTATGAGATAATGGCATGAAGTATATGTATTTTATAAAAAAAAATTATTTGACTACCTTCATTGGTTTTTTTATTTAAATTCTTGTACTCATAAAATTTGATCAATCATGTATTTATATTTTTTATTAAAATTTTGATATTTCATTCAATTCTATTCTTTCTATTATTTTAATATTTTCTATTTTTTTAGAATTAATGGAATAAGTACTTGTAATCAGGATTTTTTTTTTTCTATTTGTATACATATACTGAATATACTGATTTTTTTTACAAATATGCTAACGTAGTAGTTTTTTCTTTTTCAAATAATATATATATATAAAAAAAAAATGTGTCACCCATGTATGTCAATTTTTTCTTTTTCAAATAATATATATACATATATATAAAAAAAAAAAATGTGTCACCCATGTATGTCTTGTGTATTATATAATTCTTTAATACATCCTTTTCTCCAATTTTTCTATACAAATGGCTATAATTATATTTTTTTTATTTTGAAACTTCCCTTGAGCTATAAAAATATAATTTTAATTTTTTAAACAAGAAAAAAAATTTATAATTGTGTCAACCATGTCCTTTTATATTATATAATTCTCTAATATATTCTTTTTTCCGATTTTTCTATACAAATCACCATAATTTTATATTTTTTATTTTGAAACTTCCCTTGAGCTATATGAAAAATATAATTTTAATTTTTTAAACAAGACAAACAATTTACTTCTTAAAATCTTCATGGTTGAATAGTTTTGAATATTTTTTATTTCTTACAGCATTTTTAAGCAACTTTGAATAATTTTCCTATCATATTCAAGGGTGTTTTTGAAATGAAGGATATAATTCTATAAATATAAATGGAAAAAAAATAATATATCGAAGATTAGATACCATAATAGACACAATTAAAAACGTAAAAAAAATTAGATATTTGTTTAATTATACAGTGACAAATGAAGCCACTTACTCTTTTTTTGTATTGCAGTGCATGTACTAATTTTGTATAAAAATAAACAAAAAAAATTAAAAGAAAGATATAAACTCTCCTAGATGATTAGTTTTATTGATTTTCTTTTTAACTTCTTGTTTTTTTTATTTCCTAAAATGAAATTAAAAAAATGTTGGAAATGGGAATATGATGGTTATTTTGAACATATAAGCCCGCTTGTATTCAAGATAAATGACATGTCAACAAATAGATAATAAAAACTTATGGAAGTACTTGATTGATCGAATTTTATAAATACATGTACTCAATTAAAAAAATCAAAATACAAGTACTCAAATAAATAAATAAAAAAAAGATAAAGTATAGCATTACTTCATAAGTATTATCCCAAAAATATTAAAAATAAAACAATATCAATATGAGCCACATGATGAAAAATTAACGATGATATTTGAATGATAAACTTTTATGAGTACAAGTATTCAAATACAAAAATTCAATGCAAATACTCAAATAAAAAAAATCATAAAATACATTAAGTAAACTCATTTATACACCGTCGGGTTCCCAACAAAATTATTTAACTTCCAGTCATAGTAAATATATAGATACAAAGACTATTTTGAAGTGTCTCACTACGTTACGGCTCGAATAAACAAATTGAATGTAAAAAAAATATTCAAAGTTATGGAAATTTATCTGATTAAACCCTATATGATTGTTTATTTAATTTAAGTTTAAAATTAAATAATATAGATATTATTTTGATAGAATCCAATTGATTTGAAAATTTTAAAATAGTCTAAATAATTAATAAAAAAATATAGTTTGACTTTAAAAATAATTTTAGAATGAGTTTTTTTTTTAATATTAAAAAAGTAATATATTAAATTATTTTATGCTTTCCAACTTAACCAGTCAAATTCATAAATTTAGTAATAAATTTTATTAGGTTTAATAATTTTTTTTAACTATTTTTACTAAATTATATAATAAAAAATTAGATGTAATAGAATCAAGTATAAACCAAATATTAAAATATTTGTTTGAAAATATAATAATTTTAATGAAAACAAACTAAAATAATTGATAAAAACAAATTAAAAAACAAGAAAATTGAAAAAAATAAAATTGAAAAAAGATAAATGAAAATGTATGTGTGAAAAAGAAAAAGAAAAAGAAAGTAAAAAAAAATCTCCTTTACCATTAATATAAACAGTGTAGGAGAGGCATGGAACCCTAAAAATTTTGGTTTAGATGGTAATGGTTTATTGGACTGCGCTACGGGACAAGCGGGAAAAAAAATAAAAAAAATATTTAGATTTATAAAAATTATTTGATATTATTATTAATTTAAATTATCATATCAACTTTGGACTCTATTAATTTAATTTTTTTTATAGCCTGAATTTAAAATCAAATTATATGAAAATTGATCTAATAATATTATACAATTAATTTGATTAATTTTCAACTTTGGACTCTATTAATTTAATTTTTTTTATAGCCTGAATTTAAAATCAAATTATATGAAAATTGATCATCTAATATTATACAATTAATTTGATTAATTTAAATATAATTTGAATAATAGATAAAATAGTTTGATAATAAAATCTCTTTTGTGAGAAAACTATTTAATATTATTATTAAATCAAAATTAATGTATCAACTTTAAAAAAAAATTTATATGAATTCTTATTTAGTCTGGATTTAAAACTAGATTACATAAGAATTGTTTTGATATGAATACTTGACTTGGTCAATCTGAATATAATCTTAATTATTAGAAAAAAAATGAAAAATAAAAAACTTTTTTATGTGAATAAATAAATAATGAATGAGGTGAATCATTCACCAAGTTTTTTAGCATGGAGTATAATATAATAACTAGTGCAATATATTATTATATCTCACGAAGATTACACTACTTATTGAAGATTTTGATAACATGTATGATACCATATAATTAAATCACCCATGCATTATTGTTACAAAAATAACCAAATACAAATCGAATCGAATATTTAGTACAAGTGCGTGCATTAATTAGTTAACGTAATCCTATTTTATTCAATTATCTTAGTTATTATATTAATTAGGTAGTAAATAAATACAAAAATGATTTTAAATGGATAGTTTATGAAAAAAAGAGAATCATACCTTTCATTTTATAATTTCATCAAAATTATATTTACCTATTAAATTTTAAAAAATTATAATTTGTATCCATTTCAAATTAAAAAAAAATCATCATATAAATAATATATCATAAACTCAAATAAAAAACATATCATAAATAAAAAGAACAAATTAATAATTATTTTTTTACCCTAGTTTTTTAATCTTTATCAATTTGTTGGTGAAAGGAGTTCCAAGCAAAACTCATAAATTCTCATTTTCTCAGAAAACCCAAATATTTTCTGGGAAAATCTCTCAATCATTTCTTCGATTCTCTGTAAATTCATGTCTTATTCAGTAATTCCCGAGAAATTCATAAAATCTCTCAATTTTTCCAACAATTGCATCATGGACAATTTCTCCAGAATTGTTGTTTCTTTGTTTCAACGATCATCCAAGTTGGAATATGGATCACAGTGAACAAAATGTCCAAACCAACATTCATAGTTACTTTGTTTCAACTATCATCCAAGTTGGAAGATGGATCACAGTGAACAAAATGTCCAGACCAACATCCATAGTCTTCTAGTAGACGGAATGTCCGCCATTAATGTCTGTTGACTTGTCCGAATGAAGGTCAGTGAAGCCACCTGCAGGTGAGGCTCATATCGAGAATCCAATTAGAAAATTATGATTCGTGGAATATGAATCTTAAGTGCGCACACCTTTACTACACCAAACCATGGAGTTGCTTTTTTACTACGCCCACTTCAAAACCCCCCTTTCTCACGATTGCTTTGTGCCTCAAAATTGTTATTGCACCTTTAATGTAGTTCTTGAGGTTAAATCTGATAAAACGACATGTCTCTCTGATTCGCTGGACTTGGGTCACATGACGGTGGCGGTGCGCCTGTTTTTTTTGGAGTTTGGTGGCTTTGGAGTTGAGTGAAGGCGGTGGCTATGGATTTTGGCCGGATTGTGGGATTGGTGAGGTTGTGGGTTTATAGTTGGAGATGGTGGCAAAGGAATAAGAATATGGAATTTGGTGTTTAAGAGAGGGCAGGTGGAAGAAGATGACTAGGTTTTTTATTCAATAATAAATTTATAATATTTATGCTTTTTATTTAATGATAAATTTGTCATATTTAATATAGCTCTTTAGTTATTAAATGTTTTAAAAAATAGCAAATCAGTAAAAATGAGCTATTTCGAAGGATAGTGAGTTTGGCTTGTTAAAATGTTGTTGTAATAATTATTTTTTTATTAAAAATATATTAAAATAATATATTTTTTAAAATTTAATTTTTATATTAAAATAATAAAAAATTTAAAAAAATTTAAAACATAAAAAAATTTCAATAATTTTTTTAACTAAAAACAAATACACTTATAATAGCATCATGATTACTCAACTTTTACTAATAAAAGCATTGTTTGGAATTGCATTCAAAATGATATATTATAAAAATTTAATGTTTATAGTATTCAAAATGATATATTATAAAAATTTAATGTTTATTGTTTAAAATTACTTTTTTTGAAATTTTAAAAAAATTAAAAACTATTTTAATATATTTTTAATAAAAAACATTTTAAAAAACAGTATTATTTTATTTTTAAATCCATGACAAGAAAGGCCAATAGAATTAGCCAATAGATTTAGCCACATGAGAGGTGAGATGAGATCTCAGACATTCCTCATGCCTTGCTATGAGACCCACCATGAACAAATTGGAAGTGGACTGGACTCTTCCATTACATCACAGGGATTCATGACTCTGGTCAACCATTTCTTTGCACCTCTGCATTCTCAGGTCTCATCGGTGCAAGCCCAGCTCCGGCAGCAGGACAAAATAAGCAGTTCATTAACATATTTCCTTTTCTATTTGTGCGAGAAAGAAAACCCTAAAACGCACCAAATTTCTTAATCTTTCACTCCCATGTCTTTATTTTTGCTCATCTTGAATTACCAAAAACAAAAAAGTAATAAAATCTCACTTGTCAAAAACAAAAAGCCCCCCATTCCAAGGCCTCTTTATCTGCCAAAACCCTCCAAATCTCTGTATCCTTTCCTCCTCCTTTACTAACAAACATCATGGCCTCTCATCACCACTGCCAAAACCATGTCTCCGTCCCCACCACCACGACCCCTTGCTGCTGTTACAGCCACTGTTCCCCCCAACCTCACCACCACCCAATATCACCACCACAATTATCTATTGATCCACTTCTCCAGTCCCTTGTTTCTCTCCTCCAGCAACAGCAGCAGCAGCGGCAGCACCACCAATCCCATATTTTCTCTCCTTGCCTTAACAGAACGAACAGCCAAACAAAAAATCATCACCAGAAATCAAAGCTATATTTTCAACAAGAAGATGACCCCCAACAAACCCATTTTGTTCTCGCTTCTCTTCTTCAACGAATCAACACTCTTGAGTCCTCACTTCACCAATTTTCTGCTTCATGTACGAATAACCATAACTATCCTTCACATTCTCTCAGAGACACAGCTGCACGTGTTATTCAAACCCATTTCCGTGCCTTTCTTGTTCACAGATCAAGAACCCTAAGGCAGCTCAAGGAGCTTGCTTTTATCAAATCCAGTTTCAACGCTCTCAAATCTTCTATTTCTACTGAATCCCATTTTGATTTCAAGGTCGCTTCTCATAGAGCCATGGACTTGCTCCTCAAACTTGACTCCATTCAGGTATATCAGTAATGGGTCTCTGTCTAATTTTCTCATAATATTCTTATGAGATTATGATTTGTGGTCTTTTTTTTGTAGGGTGGTGATCCTATGATCAGAGATGGAAAAAGGTCAGTTACTAGAGATTTGGTAAGGTTTTTGGAGTTTGTTGATGGATTTGCAATAAAAAGGCATGAACTTTCGTATAAATCTGCTAGGAATGTGAGGGCTTTAGGGAATACTAACAAAGCTAGGGCTTTGAATGCCAAGAATGGTTATGGTGGTTGTCGAGATTTGACTGAAAGTCAAAGGGAAATAGTGGATAAATTGAGAAAAAGAGTTGAAAAGATTAGTGGGTTTTCGAGGGCTTGTGAAAATGACCAAGAAGATGTGGAGCTTGAAGGGTTTCAGCAATTCGTTGATGATGGGGATGGAGAGTTAAACCGAAAAGTTTCTGTTGATGGAAAGCGTGGTGTTTCATTGAAAAAACGTGTTGGTCAACCTAGAGTGAAGAAAACTGTTAGTTTTGTTGAGAATGGGAATTCTTATAGGGTAATCAGCGACACAGATGAGTCAGTTCTAAACGGAGATGGTAGTTCCAATGATGGGAGTGATTACAGTGATGATCATGGGGAGGCTGTGGAGATCCATTGTGCTGAAACGGAGGAAAGAAAAGGATTTTCTAAGGTTGCTGAGAATGACCAGGAAGCTCATTTGGAGGATGGTGGGTCATCACATAGCAGTGACAGTGGGTATCGCTTGGATAAAGATGGGAGTTTAGTTTTCTCCGCTCCAGTGCCTGTGAAGATGGAATCAAGAGCTGATTTGATGAAGAGAAAGGCTGTGAAAATTGTCACATAGGGGGCCAGTCATTGGGCTTGAATTCTGAAGTCATGCAAAATTCTGTGGCTTGGCTGGCGCTTTAGGTTCCCTTGTATTCTAATTATCAGTTGTTAGTGCAATACTGACGAAATGTGTTTGTAGGAATTTCCTATATTTGTGAGAGATTGTGAGGTTTGTGAGTGCAATCAGCTACGTTCTCCCAAAAATTTTAGATGTTCAGTGAGTAATAAATTCCACAGCTGAGATTGTTTTAACCCTTTGTATCTAGTTATTCACCAATCATGTTTCCGAAAGTGCGTGTGCTAGCAGCAGAAAATGTATTTTTCTATTCCTGTGCATTTTAAGCCTTCGTTAGCTGCACCCTGTCAAAGTACCTCTTCATACTAGATGTTTCTCCAGCTGGAGATGTTCTAGTCACGTAGAAGCACTTAGCACAATTTATTAGTATAAGGTCTTGAGAAAGTCAAATTGTGACGTGAACCTCTGTATTCAGTGCCCTATGATATGATTTTACATGCTAATGAGCTTCACCAGAAAAGAGAATGACACCGCGTTGCTAATGAGTTTCCAGGATGAGAACATGAAGTGGAAGTGAGGGGACCCTGGCTTTTATAAGTAGCGTGTCAACTAGAAATCAACTAGAAACATGAAGTAGATTAGGAAAAACATGGATGCAAGACTAAGATTGTGAGGAATTTTCTTGCAGGATATTTGGGGATAAAGAGAAGACCAAAAACACTACTACAACAGGACAAAAAACTGGAAAGTGCTCCAGGAATCAAAAAGATTTCTCGATAGAATTGCGAATCACTTGAGAAACAACAATGGACTGAAAACTCCACATCTTCCAAACTTGTCTTATACAAACATAAAATGCTAGCATCTAAGCAATTGAAAAGAAAAACCTCAATGTGGAGGTGTATTGTCTATGATCCCATGCAACCTAGCTGCTTATGGTAATTACTAGCTGTCATTGACAAAACGATGAGAAAGAATCCAGCAAATTTGAAAGCAGCTGCTTGAATTTCATAGAAGTTGACTGATACTTGAACACGCTGACCTCATTAGTGGAATGTTTGGGTATGGATACTTAGGCCACAAGCAAGCATGACTATCATGTTCAGGTCAGTTACAGAATGTGTTGAATCCCAAGCTATTTGGGGTCAGCAGTGTGGATCCTTTTGCACTATTCAGTTCAATCATAATCCACATTTAACTTCAATATCGGAAGTACTATTGTTCCAAACATTATCAAAAGTATTATTATACATACAAGACTCTGCTGTGTTTGCTCTGTGCTGGCCTGCATGACTTGTTTGTAATGAATAGCTGTCTCTGTGACTAGAAATCATGTTCTCATCCTGGAAACTTTTACTGGCCCAGTTTCAAGCTTTTGTGCGCTGATGGCAATTTTCTTTGAACCAGAAATCTTTATCCTGGCTTCTCCTAACGTATTCAATGCTACCTTAAAACTGTGGTCAGATGCCAGCCCTTCCACCATACATTTTATTTCTTCCTCAGACAATACATTGTACTGCAAGTTTTTACCCCTGTGAGAATTACTTGGCACATCAAGACAGGACAATACATCCAAGATGGCATTATCCCTGTCATTTTTGGTCCATTGCTGTAAAATATAATTTGCGGAAGAATGAAGACATCTGTAGCTTTGAATACTGCAATCACATCTCTGCATAGGATCCCTTCAAACTGGAACATCTTGCAACTACAACTAGCTATTTCTTCTGATATACTCAAAGTGACAAAGTACACCTTCTGTTCTTCATCAAATTTTGCTAGCTCATAAGTGGTGGTTCCTCCATCATCTCCACCTAACTTCACAGCACATAAAAGAGATTAAAAAATCTCATCCTGAACTACAGAACAATTATCTAGTGTAAACTTCTGCTGCTTGCTTTTCCATAGGAAGTGGGGTGTTTAATATGGGTTTAGTGTAAACAGTCTCCAACTCTGCCTTCGCTTCTTTTTCATATCTATCATCCAAAGCCCTCACATATTGCTCTGCAAAATCTTGCAAGGTAGTCCACCTCGCATTCACGTAACCATCAAAAAGATTGCTCTGCAAAATCTTGCAAGGTAGTCCTGGCATTCGCGTAACCATCAAAAATCGAATTCACACTCCCACTTTTCTGGGCAGTATTCATGCCTGCAAAGAATACCCCTCTTACATAGACTGGGACCCACAACTTGCGGTCCATGCAAAGTGATTGAATCCATTCATTTCCCCTGACAAAACCCAAGTAGATTCAAATTCATCAGGGATCTCAGTTTTGTTAACGCCTCTACCAAGTTCCACCTAAAATGTCTTTTGAAGCGAACTGTATGCATGCCCCATTTTGCTGATGATGTGCCCCTTGCAATATCAGTGGGTTGATTGGGGGAAATCTCTCTCTATTGCTCTAGTCATGGCAGAATCATAATCAGTTATGATTATCCCTGGTTGCTGTCCCGACACTGCCTCAAGCCAGGTTGTGAAAATCCAAATGAAAGTAGATTCTGTCTCATTTGCAAGCAATGCACAACCAAACAACACTGATTATATATGATGATTTACTCCAGTAAAAGGTGCAAAGGCATCATGCACTGATTGACTTGATAAGTGGTATCAAAGGCCACAACATCAGAGAAATAATCATATGCAATTCTAAATCTCGTGTCAACCCAGATAACACTACTCGGCCTATCCTCTTCATCAACCTGTATTGCATGATAAAATGCAGGATCACTAGCTTGCATAATCTTGAAAAATCCCAGAATATTTTGAGCATCTATACCAAAATTGCTCAGTCATCCTCTTCCTACATAGTTGATACAATTCAGGAAATTAAATACCATTTTGCCAACAGCATTACCATCTTCTGTAAAGACAATCACAGGTGCATCCAACCCCGTCACAGGAGAACTTAAAGATTCACTGAAACTATTATTTGGATCATAGTCCTGCTTATGTGACCTTAAAAAATGTCGCGTTCATGGTGTTAACATCTCATGATTATGATTCTTCTCTAATTTTGCAATATACCGTTTCCCATTATCACTTCTTCTCACAATCATCAATGCCTGACAACCTTCTCTCATAATAGGCCTAGCGCGCCTCCTCCTTGTTTCCGCACCTGAATCCATTTTCTTTGCTCACTTCTCTCAGTGAAGCCCTTCTTTAGAACAACAAAACTCTATAGATATAATTGAATTATCTTTCTTAGACTGATAATACGAATTCACATGAATGCTAAACCCTGTTTGTTTTGCAACCGAACTGTAAAAATCCCTCACATCATCTTCTGAAGTAAACCCCATGCCTAATGCAGGTTCTTCAGCCATATCATTCAAACATTGAAACAACTCAGCATTCACAGTATCAAATCTGTTCCCCTCATCCAAAACCATTGGTGTCTCAGCATCCTCTACCACACAACACTCATCACCTTCATCTTCTAAAGCCACCACATAAGAGTTCACTAGGTCTTTGGCTTCAATTGCAGGCTCATCATCATCCATGTTATATTTTTCTTTTGCAAAACAAAATCAGATATTAGAAACGTACTAACCCCCAATTTCCACATAGTTTCAATTTGAGAAAAAGGGACCCTCTTAAATTCCTTGTTTAAGTTATGTATCTCCACTAAAAACAAGATTTACTTACAAGCTAAACCATATCATCGTATTGAGCAAACTTGCATATGTAGTTGCCATGATTTCTAGGTGCAATGTACAAACACTATAAGAAATCATAATACAATGTCCAAAACAGCAACAAACCTTTTCAACTTTGGTTAATCAGATTAAAGAAACACACACATACACAGTCAGAATGACACATAACACGTTTTTTCCTTAAACAACTTGAAATTGGCTAGAACAAAAACTGCTTAAAGTTTTAGTGATGTCAACTACTTAGAATAGTAGTTATTTTAGGGAAGCTAAAGCAATCCATTGCTGTAAATTAACGAACTAGAGGAACCCATTAAGGTTTTCTTTACTTTCTTTACGGCAGAGAAGAAAGGTTGAAACTTCGAGAAGTTTATTACCTTTGCAAGGAGAGAGGAGGATGGGAAGAAACCGCTGCTGACGATAAGGTAATGGGAGGACCCAAATCACCACCTCCTATCCACCTTATTTCGTATATAAATGTCGAATTTCAATCCATGAGTTTTGGGCTTGGATGCGTTAGACGAACAGATTTCTGTAAATATGGCTGTAGTTTTCTTCTTCTTTTTTCATGACAGGGGATAGGCAATACATTTTTATTTTGATAAAATAAAATATTAATTATTAAAAACCAAATTTTAGCTTCGAGTTTACTGTTTTGCGGACATTTACTTTGGATTCTTGAAGATTAAAAGCAAGACTGATTATCAAGAAATTTGATTAATTACTTATCATATAGCATTAATCTTTGATCCTAAATTTCCTTGGATTGGTTGTATTTGGACATTTTATATTGTTCTTTCACATTTTCTAAAGACACATCTCT